GAAGCTGAGGGCGGACCTTTAGGAGCCTCTTGCACAGAGCAGTGAGGCAAGTAAATCTGCCAAGGCATTTCCCTCATGCAAAGGACCAGGGAGCTGAGAATGAGCATGTACATGCCCAATTAAAAAAAAAAAAAAAAATGGAGAGACGGTGAAGGAATTGCAGCTTGAAGCCATAGTAAAAGTGAAAATATGGAAGTCCGTGTAGTAGGAAGAAAAGCAGTTTCAATGTGAGGAAACAGTTGGGCAATGTGATAAGAATCCATATAGGTTAGAAGTCCGGTTTGAGAGGCAATCAAAACTACAAGAACTGCTGCTCTAAGCTCCACCTTCTGAACTCTGGAAAAGAGTGTGGTTTACCATTAATGATATGTTCTGTTGTGCCGTTAGAGGAGCCACCTGTAAACATCAAAGCTGCAGCAGGAGTTAAGGAAGAGGCCCAGCCAATGGACGGGAAAATAAAAGAATGTCTACTGACAGGCTGCAAAATGAGGGATGGAGGCAAATGATGTTTATAAATAAGGGTGAAACTCAAAGCAGCAATCCTCCAACTACCAGATTCAGAAAGCAATATAGTGAATTGTTCAGCAGCGTAAGGTATAATAATTTTTGAAACATCTCCACCGAAAAGTTCCCTGCTTCTCTGGTGGCCTTTTAAGATTATGGTGGCCAACAAATCAGTATACGGGGCCACGGCCTTATTGGAAGACACCGTGAAGCCATTCCGAAGGACCCTCGTGCCATAAGCGGCCAGGAGGCATGTGGTCAGTTGAAATAATGATCAAGAGCCAGGGCTGAGTAGAGTCAAGTCTTGTCACTTTATGTGAGCAATAGCTTGTTTCATTACCGTTGAGCTTCAGAGATAAGTATCCTTGGTGACCTAGGCTCGGAATCAATCCAGTGTATCAATCAGAGGCTTATGTCAGGAAGTGAATAATTTCAAAGAGCCAATTAATATCTCCCAGGAGTCTCTGCAAATCACTTAAGGTCTGTAGCTTGTCTGTTCTGATCTGCAAAGGCTGAGAGGTGACAAAGCCATTCTATGTCATTTGTCCTAAATAAGAATATGGGGGTTGAGCCTGTATTTTTTTTTTATTTTTATTTTTTTCTGGAGCAACTTTAAGCCAAAATTTATCAAGTGCTGTTGTGAGATGCTGGCGCCACTCCTGTAAGAAGCCATGGTCAGGGTAAGAGATTAAAACATCGTCCACATAATGTAGCAAGTATATGTTCTTAAAATCCTTTTGAATTTGAAGCAGGCCCATATCCACAGATTTTTGACATAAAATGGGACTATTTTTATCCCTGAGGGAGAAGTTTCCATTGATACCTGATGTGGGTTCTAGAAAAATCAGGTGAATTTAGGCTAATGGCAAATCTCTATCTTGAGGTGACAGAGGATAGTAAAAAAGCAGTCTTGAAGATCAATAACAACAATATCGTCATCTTTGGGAATTGCTACAGAAGGAATTCCAGGCTGTATTGCACCCATATCCTGCATAGTATCATTAATTTTTCTTAGGTCTTGTAATAATCTCCATTTCCCAGACTTTTTATTGATAACAAAAATTGGTGTGTTTTAAGTACTATTTGAGGGCTCAATACGGCCTGCCAGCAATTATTCCTCTACCAAATGGAAGGCTGCCTGTGATTTTTCCTGTGTGAGGGACACAGTCAGCAGTAGCCTGTTTGATTTCCTTTAGGAGTTTATAAGGGAAGCGGCTCCTACAAAGGATCATCATCCCATTTGGAATCAAAGAAAGCAAATTAAATGCTCTCCCTGCTGTTGAGGCCATGGTAAAGCATCCTGAATCCCTACTGCTCTCAGGGGAGGTTTAAAATTAACCTTTGGTCTTTCCCTTTCCCTTTCCCTCTCCCAAGAGAAGGCCAATCTGGATTATGATATTGAACTGCCTCTTCCTTTAAGTCAAAGGCATCTCCAGGATCCAGAAGTTCATCCTGTTCCTCCTCATTTTCTTCTTTGAGAGGGTGGCATTAGGGGAAAAAAGGGAAGGAGGAACGGACCCCTTCACAGAATTGCTAAGAACTTCTTTTTGTAACTGTAAATTCAGGGGCTAAAACTACATCCCCTCTCTCCCTGGGTCCAAAGCTGCTCTGTGAAGAAAAGGCTGTAATGGGCCTTTCATATGCACCATACCTTGATTTCAGACTTCAGTATCCCACACTTCTACAGAGTGCCTTCCTCTGTAAGGACTAACGTTTTATACAAACTTTAAAAACTCGTGCACCGACCTAACTAATCTTATATCCTCTAGTCTTCATAATACGCTTAAGGATGTCTGCAAAAAGGGCAGTCTCTTTAGACTCACTCTGTCCCATTATGGACAGGGCACAAATCACTTCTCAAAAGTTCTGGAGATTAACTACGTCTCCTCAAACAGGTAACCTTCCTGGTGAGCCTGCAGCACCTGAGGGAGAATCCTAGCCATACAGAATCTTTTCCCCAAAATGTTTTCCATTTTTCAAGTCCCTGTTCAGGCCCCACCTGCCAGCAACCAGCACTAGCAGGGACCTGAGGACGGAGGCGTGGTGTTGGCCAGAGTGACTTGCGAGCAAATGGCCCAATAGCTAAAACCATATTTTATACAATCACAAGTCTGCTTACCTGAGCAGTTTTTTTTTTATTTATTTTTATTTTTATTTTTTTTAATTCAAAGAAATCATAACATCAGCATTACAAAAGCCTCATCATTGCTCTGTTCCCCCAATAGTCTCCCTTCCTCATTGTCCCTCCTGCCAGGTCAAATACCTCCCAACTGCATTTTGCATTACAAAGCACAGTTTCAGCAAGCTAAAAATAAAGGGCTGGCTAGGCATGTCCTGTGGACATGAGCACATACCCAGCTGGCAGCAAAAGTGGTTATACAGTCATGCAAAGTGAGAGACAGAGTAACCATTTGTGGGTAATCAAATAGCACCCCTTTGTTTTAATACCTTTTTTAATTGCAAAGACACGCTCATTGTACCAAGCAACCTTTCCTGATACGCACCCATCTTTTCAAGAACCATTTTTAAGTCTCTATTGATCAGATATAGCTTCCCATTTTTTAAAGGCCCTCTCCCCCCAAAACAAACAAACAAACAAACAAACAAGCAAGCAAACAGCTTTTCTCTGTGTAGCCTTGGCTGTCCTGGATTTTGTAGACCAGGCTGGCCAGAGATCTGCCTGCCTCTGCCTCCCTGGGTGCTGCGATTACAGTCATGCACACCATGCCCGGCTAGCTTCCCCATTTTTGAAGTCTCTGCTGATCATAGATTTCCTAGAACAGTCATGCGGACCCACTGCTCTCCACAACTGCCACATGCCTACTCAGTGTGACTGCAGTTGTTTCTCTAGGGACATGAAAGCAGGGAGAGCTTGTAGCACATGCGAACTAAGTAATAGACATAGAGGTCACCGTGGTCCCTACCAAGTTTCCATGGGCCTTGCCACGTGGCATCCCATCAGTGAAGCACGCATGCACAGTTTCCTGCAGGTGCCGCATGGCCACCGCCATAAAAGGACTGACAAGGGCCTGGAGGGAGTCGGGAGCACTTACTATTGCAGAGGACCTGTGTTTGGGTCCCAGCACTCAAATGATGGCTCACAACCACCTGTTAACTCTTGTTCTGACACCTTTTGGCCTCTCTGGGCTCCTGCCTGCATAGGCACGCAGATACACATAGAGAAATCATTTTCTTTTACAATACACACTGATTGTGGCAGGCAGAGCCACAGCATTTTAGAACTTGAATGCTTTTAGGTTGGCAGGTGAGAGACCAAAAGATAAAGTAGCAGCTATTGTTAAAACTTAGAGTAGGTGCGGTAAAGTAGTTAGTAATGCCCTGAGGGGAGAGCTACCTCACTGCATTCTTTCCCCACCCACTAGAGATACGGTTGCTAGGAAACTGGACCCTCTCCCTAGGGAGGGACACCTGCTCATGGTCAGTGGTCTGGGAACCTTCCTATAGCCAATCGATTCAAAATGTAGCATCTTGACCAATAGATGCTTGCCAGGCAGGAATTGCCCCTGCCTTGGGCATGCTGGGAGGGACCAGAATCTATAAATCACCCAACTAACCTGGGGACGGCGCGCTCAGCTCCCACCGCTTCGGCGGTGGGGCTGTGTAGGCCCAAGCTACAGTTTGTAATTTACAATAAAAAGATCCTCATGTGTTTTGCAACGGAGTTGATTCCTGTAGATCTTTTGGGGGCTCACGAACTGGGTATAACAGCAGGCTCCTTCACTGAAGTATCCACCATGCTCTACATTCTATATCCTATTTCTGTGGCAATACACCATCAAAGGCCTATATTGTGATCACTGAAAAGCCCAGGCCAAGGGTCTAGGGAACCAATGTTTGCATACAGATGGGAGTTATTACTTTACTGCTATGACTCCGTGGATAAAGGAGAACATTTTTCAAATGTCCTTGGATTATAGCAAGATTATTCTTAGTGACTCCAGAAAAGAGAATTACTGCAATGTGCCACACATTCACTATACATCCAGCGCTGGGCCAGGAACTTCAGACATATGGTGAATAATCCCCACAGGTCCCTTAGGGATGAAAGGGAAGCCCAGGAGGCGGGGGTGGGGTGGGGAGGCAGCATAGTCCTGCCTACTCTCAGCAGAGGACAGTCTAGAAGTATAGAACAGGAGGGCTGCCATTCAGCCTAGCCCTCCACAGGGGGGGCTCTAGCCCAGTCCTGCCTGTTGCTGGAGACCCAGTTTTGTTTGTTTGATATTACATGTATTTATTTATTTGTGGTGAGCATATGAGCGTATGGTTCTCTCCTTCCAGCTTGTGGGGCCAGGGGTTTGAACTCAGGCTGTCAGGCTTGGGGCGGGCACCTGTATCCACCCAGCAGCCTCCTTGACCTTGGAGTCCTGTTTTTTATTTTTCCATTTATCTTTAAAACAAATTCTACTTCATTAGCCTAAGTTTGTACTGGTCTTTTTAAGCAAAGAAGACAGATAGGCTTTAATAGTGTCCAAAAACCTTTATCGTAAAACATTTCAGAAGCCCTTTACAAGCCAAAAGCTTTATAATTCAATAGAAAACATAATTTTATAGACATATTTCTCCATACAAAAGGCTGACCTTTGTAAAAAATTAGAATAAATAATTGAAAAATCAGTGCCATTGATCTTAAAAAGAAATCTCTGATTGTTTCATGTTGAAATGCCTTCTATGTCACCAAGAGATGAGGAGGCTCACACCTGTTACGAGCTTGGGCTGTGAGTCTCTCTCGAAGATTTCTCACTTTCTTGAGAAGATCATAGTCCGTGTGGTTCCATTCTTTTGTTTTCTTACTTGAAAAAACTTGAAAACAAAATTTAGAGGTATTATCAACTGATTTTTCTGATGTACTAATATTTACCTTCAGTGTAATTATGCTATGAAAATCAATAAGAAAACCACTATACTAAAAAATTTCTTGAGCAAAGAGCCAATCACATTACCCAGCCCTAATGTAGTTTCATTTCCCAGGCAAGGGGCTTTTTTTGTTGTTGCTGTTGCTGAACTGAATGAATGTTGGCAGAGAGCTCACAGCTGTTGGCTCCTAAGCAAGCACACACCATATGTATGAAAGGAACAAAGCTTGGCTGGGAAGCTGAGCTCTTCAGGACAGCACACATCCTACTGTGATGCTCAATGGAAAGGAGAACGGACAGACTCTAAGTAAGGAGCTGAACCACACTGGAGGTCCACCTTCCCCAAATACAGGATGTTCTGGCTGTAGCTGGTGACAGGAGAATTCAGATCAACACTAAAGTAACGCCCTACTGGAGTTTACACCCTCCGTCCCTGTGAACGGGCAGGGAACACTGGACTGGAGTTCCAGTGTTAAATACATAGATTTAATTTCTGAAAATTATTTCTGTCCCCTGAAGAAGGAAGGCAGACTTTATGCTTCATTTTGCTGCCAAATAACCTGCACTCAGCGGGTTCCCCATCACTCTGAAATGCAGATTACCTGGGTGTGAGTCTAAGCTCCAGCTGGCCTGCTCTGTGTGCAGGCTGGAGGGGCAGGGTTGCCTGAGTGGAGCCTTGTCTACAAAAAGGAAATATTTACATATGAAAAAAGGAAAAGGTTTCATTCCAATGAGTAGAGACCAGTTGTGATCTTAGATTAAAATGGACGCCCCAGTGATCCCTGGTTTAATTATTATTCTAGCATGGAACTTATAAATGCACACAATAGGATTCACACAATGCTGGAATTTCATGACTTGTCATTTGTCATAATTCTCATAAAACTCATCTTTTGGGAATCTTGTATAAGGGGTTGTTCTAAGAGAACTTAAAAGATCTCTCAAAAAAAATCAAATTTTGCTTTATCAATACAACAGCTTTACTGGAAAGCCAGTTAAAAGTCTAACAGACTTTCTTGTCCTTCCTTTAATAGATTTAAAGAAATATTTATTATTAATTAATTTAGGTGCTAACCCAGGCCTCACACTGAGTGGCATTCCCAGCTCCTGCAGACTGAGGCTGCATCAGTAGGTTGCTCGGGCGGGCCTGACCACTGTCTTCTTAGCCTCCCTAGTGGAGTACAGGACTGCATCCTCAGGCCCCAGTTCCATTTTGAGTTACTGACTCTGCTGGGATATGGCTGACTCCTTTACGGGGGCAACTCACAATCTTACCCTACCCTCACCCTGCCTTGGGCAACAAGTCACCTAGCCAGCTCCAAGCCATTCACAGTCATCAGGCAATCTGCTGAAATCTTATAGGCAGGTGGAGTTGGGGAGTGTTGGGCCCATATACTAGTCAGTGTCCAACCCTACTATTTTGGGGCTAAAGAAATGGAGTCATGTGATCTCTGTCTGAGGCTGCTTCTCATCCTCTTTTCCAGCAGAGCTGTGAGGCTCTCACTGTCCCCATTCTAGACTTCCTACTGCCAACGCCCTGGAAAAACATATCATACACTCTACCTACCCCTTTAGCCTCCACTCTGCTTAAATATTGTGAAATGTAAAATAATAGACAGTGTATTCCTTATTGATCAACTTACTCTGTGTTGAGGGATCCATTTCAGGAACATCATTTAATTGAGAGGTTTGGGACAAATGGGTTGAGGCCATGTCTTCCCTTTGAAACCAGGGTACATCTGCTCATAAAGGGAGAAAAAGGATGTGTGAGAGTGAGCAGAAGCCATTTATTAATGGCAAACAGTGCTTGGTCACTCACTCTGCACAGGTGGTCACCATCCCCTTCCTTTCTTGTTCTGGAAAGAACACTGCTGCCTTCCAGCAGAAAGCAGAAACGTAGTGTAGGGACAGAGAGCTGTGCAGAGACTGCTAATGGCTTCTTCAGCTAGAACAAAAGGCCAGCAAATAGCTACGAAGCAGGGATCAGGGGCTGGAAGCATGGCTTGGTGGTAGAGCACTTGTCCAGTATGCACAAGGCTCCAGATTCCTTTCCCAGGAAAAGAAGATGTCAGGTGGGGATCCCAAATAATAAATGAAGAGATTAGGGAATGAAATACCAATGGTTACTGGGAACCACCCTGAGTGCATCAGAGGCAGGTCCAGCCAGGAGGCTGCCACAGCCTGGACAGTGAATCAGAGGTAATTCTGATCAGAGTATTGAGCACAGCAGCAAAATCCCCTGGAGGCCTGCTGCACTCCTCACCATGAAACTCACACGGGCCTGGTGAGGCACTGAGCAGGTCAAGGCACTTGCTGCCAAGCCTGACTGCCACAGTCAATCCCGGGACAACAGAGTGAATGCAGAGAACCTTCTGATAGCCATGCACCCAGTACAGAATGAAATAAACAGAATTAGCATCAACAAAACCATGCTCACCCTTGGCTGTTTCCCTCTCCCCTAGCCCCCACTGCTCCACATCTTTTGGAATCTGTCTCACTGACATCATCGTCACCACCACCACTATCACCACCGTCATCATCATAGCCATTATCAACACCGTCATCATCGCTACCATCTCTTCTGTCTAAATCCCATCCAAGGGTCTACACTTACAAGGGTAGGTCTCCCTGACTGACTGTGATGCCCACTTCCCATCTGATCTTGGGAGAGTTAAGTGGAGTGTTTGACTTCGATGAGACATTAAGGCAGTGTAATTGCTAGGTAACTAAGTTGAACTGGTGTGGTGGAATGCGATACAAGGGGCACTATCAAAATATGGATGTCTTGTAACAGAGGCAGCTAATAATCTGCACAGCTCCAAAGAAGAACTTCAAGAAAGAAAGAAAGAAAGAAAGAAAGAAGGAAGGAAGGAAGGAAGGAAGGAAGGAAAGAAAGAAAGAAAGAAAGAAAGAAAGGAAAAAAAAAGCTTTATATACAGGAGAAAAATGGAGCCATGTAACAATCTGGCAGACCTCCAATGTCCCAGTGTCGGTGATGCCGCCACTGCCATGTAGCAGATGAGCCACAAGCCAGGCTCTGGCTCCTCTTACCCATCTTTCCAGAGCTGTGATCTGCCTCCCCTGCCTCTCACTACCTTTTAGGAACCCATGCTACCCACTGCTGTCTGATCTGTTACCTCCAGGGGTTATTCAGTGATGTTTTCATGCTTAAACAAGCACTGGCCAATCCACCTTGAGATTCTGCAGCATCTCAAGCACTGGCTGAGCAGACTCACCTGTGACGCTAGGATGGCCATGGCTTCAGCCTTACTTGCTCAGCCACTCACTGACCCACCAAGCCAGAGCATCACCACTGATTCGGCTCTCCATAAGTGGATTTAAAACAATCTGCTCCCTTGCTTCTCCTGATTCCTGAACACTGCAGGAAGAGAAGCTATCCTGGTACCTCCCCAGGTTGTGTCGTGCAGCTAGCTGAGCAGCCTGGTAACAGGCTGGGGCCTCCTCCTCGGCTTAGCACAAGGTAGCCCATTGTCTATGGCTGTCTTTAGCCCCATAAACCTGAGCCAGGCCCCAATGCCTGGTTGAGACTCCTGAAGCTGGCCTCATGTTCTCCTGGCCCAAGCATTTACAGCCATCCACAAGCATGGATTCTCTGCTGCAGCTACCTTAATAAGGCCACTAAGGTAGGCAGTTTTATATGATTACTGAGTTATGCTCATTAAATTTTGTGAGGAACAATGAGTGTGATACAGCCACAAAAATTCTTAAGAGAAAATGTTGTCAATATGTGTGTGGGTGCATGGCCCAGAAATGACAAGTGGTTGGAAAACAGTTTACTACAATGCTAGAGCTGTAACAAAATTCAAGGTCCCCCGTCTACCATTTTCTCCCTTCATAAAGAGAACACCGGAGACTTAAGAAAATTAAAGGCACACAGTTCAGTGGCTGTGGCTGTTTTCACCCCCAGGAACGTGCTCCGAGCACCTGTCTTGCACTTGGTCCCAGGTAATTCCATCATGGTCATCTCTCCCAAGTGTCATCTCTTTCTTCTAAGCTCTCTCTATTCTTTCTTCAACATCTAGTATTTTGAAACCTGGTCCAATGGCTCCATCTGGCAATAATATTTCCCAGTGTTATTTCATTATTACTTTGTGGTACAGGGGGAGGAGTGAATACATAAGCTGAGTGAGTAGGGGGCAGCATCCAACTTTCAGGAATGCTTCTTTCCTTCCACTGTAAATTCTGAGGATTAAACTCAAGTCATGAGGCTGGAGAGATGGCTCAGTGGTTAAGGGTAGTGGCTGTTCTTCCAAAGGACCTGGGTTCTGTTCCCAGCACCCACATGGCAGCTCCATTTTAACTCTAGTGCCAGGGGATCTGATGTATTCTTCTGCCTCAATGGGGAGTGCACATACATACATGGTACATATACATACATGCAGGCAAATGCTTATACATTAAAAACTAATACACTTAGGGCCGGAGAGATGGCTCAGAGGTTAAGAGCACTGGCTGCTCCTTCAGAGGTTCTGAATTCAATTCCCAGCACCCACATGGTGACTCACCATTTATAATGAGATTTGGGGCCCTCTTCTGGTATGCAGGCATACATGCAGAAAGAACAGTTTATACACAACAAACAAACAAATAAATCTTAAATCAGGTCATTAGGCTTGTGTGGAAAGCACTTTTACAGTTGAGATCTGGTTGGCTTCCAATCTTTTTTATTTTTGAGGAACTATTTTATTGATCCTTCCTTTGATTTGAGACAGATTCTCATGTACTGTAGGCTGGCCTTGAACTTCTGATCTTCCTACCTATATCTTCCAAGTGTTGGGATTTGGAATTTGCCACCACACTTGGCCAGTTTATCTTTTTAAAATGAATAATTTGATGTTATTGATATATTCAAAGTTATAATAATTATCATCATTAACTTTAGAACATTTTTATTACCCCCCAAAGAAATCACATACCCTTTAACAGTCATTTCCCCCCACTTCCTGACAACCACTCATGAACTTTTCTCTGTACAAATGTTCCACTCCTGACTATCTCATATGGATGGGCTCTCACAGTGTGCACCCAGCCTTTTATGTCTGGCTTCTGTAACTAGCCAGGTTTTCACGGTCAACTATTCTGAAGCGTGGGGCATTCCTATTTATAGGAGAATAAGATTTTACTGTATGGATATATTCATTCTCTTTTCCCTGTCAAATTTCACTATGTAGCTCAGACAGACCTGAAACTCATCACAGTCTCAGCTTCCTGAGTGCTTGATGACAGGAACAGATTACCACACCAACCTTGAACACGTACTCTGACTGTATATATAAGCAAGCAAACTATACACTGAGGGAAATATGCACCAGTGAAGCTGTTGTCTTAAAAGGTGATAATCATACTGTAAACAGGCTGACAATACAAAATGCAGTAAAAGAAAACTTCTCCACATCTGTAGTTTACTTTAGAATGTTAAATTATAATTTTCATCTAAAATTACATCTCTCTCTCTCTCTCTGGTGTATGTGTATGCACATGTGTGCCACTATAAACATATGGAAGTCAGAGGGCGGCAGTGGGACTGAGTTCTCTTCTTCCATGTGGATCCTGGGACTCCAGCGCAGGCTATCAGGCATGGCACCAGAAGCCTTTACCCACTGACTGTCTCAACCAGCCCAATAGAATTTTGACTATTCAGTTGAGCAGTTGCAAGTCTTATCCTAAAACTTAACAGTTAGGTCGTATAAAAAGATCCTGTGGTGCTTTAACACACTGTTGTTCTGACACGGATTATCTGGCGAGGCGCATCTCCCTACTAAAATCAGAAGTGGCTCTTAGGAAACAGACCAGATTCCAGAATTCCAGATTCTCTTAACCAGAAGATTAAGAGAACACCAAAGACACCACAGGCCTCTGGAATAAGACAATCCCATGGGGACTGCGTTGCAGGTTCCCTTTTTTGTTTACTGCTTGGTGAGTTCTGCGCTGGGACTGAGCTTCTCGTATATGAGGCAAGCACTATCGCTGAACTCTGTCCCAGCTCAAAGCTGCTTTCTTCACAGGAACTCTGGACTTATCAGTTCTACCTCAGCAGCCGATCCTCCCTTGTACCCCTCATGTCATGCCTCCCAAAAGCCAAGCATAATTTGAATGAAAGCAACAGAGGAGAGCTGCAGAGGTTACTAATGGGGCCAGAGGAGGTTAAGGGACCTGGAACAGTGCAGACCCCGCACTCACCTTCGCTTAGGGAATCTCCACGTTCCAAAGCCGCACTGGTCTCCTGCTTTAGAAACCACCTTCGAGAGGCATCGGAAAGGGCAGACGCTTTCTTTTCTGATTGCAAATGAAATTGCTTCTCTTCAGCTTCCTTCCACTGCATAAAACGTGGGGCAAAAAGACCATTAGAAACTGGAAACCCAGACTACTTGAGCAGAATGGCTCTTTCATTTTCCTCTACTGCTCTCCTTCATAGTGTGAAACCCTCAGGAGCTGAGTAGTACTATGGGGCTTGGGTGCCTGTGGTGGCCTGTAAGAACCTCGGAGCAGGGGCAGGACTTGCCTGCACAGGCAGCACGCAGCTGCACTTCACAGGTCCCAGGCTTCATCAGACTACACCAGCTGCCCACCAAGGGGAATCAGTTTCTATCTAATGTGAATGCCAAGCCTCAGTTACAGAGACTACAAAATACAGAGGATTACTTCTTTGCTTGGCTCCAGGACACACATGAATTGTAAGAGTCTAGTAGTTTCTACCAGCCCCACTTTTCCCCCTATAAAATGAGAAAATTCCTCTTAAAATTCAGAGGATGACTACATAGTAAATTTAAAACATCCAGAGATGCCACATAGAAACACAGTTTTTTTTTTAATTAAAATACCAATTCATTAAATATAAACCTTAAAGAATCTCAAAATCTGAGGCCAAAGGACAACAGAGATCATTTCCGCTCTATAGATCAGGGTGCAGTCTGCCTGCTTTCCCAAGGCCACACAGCAGCAAAGGGAGCTTTAGAACCATTTACTGTGCTCCACACAGGGATGCTCCATGCACTTTCAAGTCATGATTTTACCCCGAGTAAGTTGCACCGAAGTTTACAGTCTGCTGAGATAGTGCCCACAACCCTTGCCCTGAAGAGTGAGCTCCCACCACAACGTTCCTATGGCCACGATTTCAAGATTTTGGGTACCGCCCCATATCCCAACCTTCTTTCCTGTCCTTGAATGAAAGGACTACAAGACAGGTTCCCTCACCGGAGAGGCAGGAGGGAAGAACTAGGAAAATGGTAGTGAGGGGCTAGCTTTCAGAAACAGCGATCAGCAAAACATGAAGGTGCTGAGACTAGCCACGTAAGCCTGACCCTCCCAGGTCAGCGGGGCCCTCAGAGAAGCCACTCTTCTAAATCCCTGTACTGGAGTTTTGTTTTCTTTAAAAACTCAGTTATGTTAGGCAAATATGTTTTGGTTTTAATCCCAAGTGTGGGATATGGGACTGGCTTAGTTTGTCCTCAGCTGATAACAGCCTCTTGTGGCTTGGAGAGGGGCGTGGTCTTTGCCAGCTGGAGTTAGTGGAATTCTGAGGACTCTGGGAGCATGTAAAACCAGAGCCCAGAGACAGGAACACTTCAAGGAGACAGACAGAGGAGAAGAAGGCTGCTTTTTCACCTTACTGCATTTGTTGTTGCTGGACTGCTGGATATCCTGATGACTGAGATTGGTATTGCCCCAAATACTCCAATGGCCCTAAATCAGCAGGAACTAAGTCTAAAGAGGTCTATGTACCCTGTCCCTTCTAATCTTCTTTCTCTCCTACCTAGGGTGTGGGGATGCGAGGTTGGAAGGAACGTAGAGTCCTTAGGAACCCCCAATAAAATAGTTTAAGCATAGCACATACAGGTCCCACCCAAAGTGGCTGAGTCAGCTAGAAGATACACAGCTATGACATAAACTCTTCAATTTGACAGCGGTGACTCTAGCATCATTTTGAATGAATGATAAAGTGATAATGAACGAAAGTCATTCAGTTAGGAGCACAGCAGAAAGATGACAGTGCAGTCATGGTACTGACTTCAGTTTGCCCACCTTCTGAAAAAGAGAAGTATTTCTATCTTCCTTCTATGCTACTTTGGGTTTTGCTGCTACCGACTCCTGTATCTACCACTTAAATTCTTTCTACACTTTAAGTCTAAAGAGATATGTATAAATTAAGGCAATAACATACTATTAAGTCAGCAAGAACAAACCCAGTAATATACTATGAAGTCAGTAAAAACAAAGCTGAAACAGAACAATATAAACATTGGATTAGAAAGACAGTGGCTTGTTTGTAAGTAGCATCAGTATTGGACAATGTTCCTGAATATCACTTATTATACTTTGATCATTTAATGGGTTAGGAGAAGATCATTTAATGGGTTAGTGGTAGAGTGCCTGCCTTTTATCTGTAAGGCCCTGGGTCCAGCCTCCGGTTAGCAAGGGAAGAGATTAGCTTAACATACTAAACAGAAGTTTGTAGTTTCCTTTACCTTCCTAGCCTCTTCCTCCATCATTGCATTTAAGATTTCTATTTCTCTCCTTCTGTTCTTCCTAAGAAGAGTGGCAACTTCATGGTAGCCCTGGCTGCGCTGTAGATCGTCACATTTCTGCCTCTGTAATGCCTGGATCTGCCAGTCAGCCTTCAGGCAGGCTTGCTTGGCCTTTGCCAAATTGTCCTCTGTTACCTAAGAAAAAGTAAGTTTCAGAAACAAGGTGAACTCATGTCAGACATGGACACCTACCCACTGTATCCGAAAATCTACTTAGCCTGGGGTGTGATACAGTCACCAGGATGTTTAAATAAACTGAATTCCAGGCCCCACCATAAACTAATCAAATCTTGTTAGCTGGAACTTTAAAAAAGATTTTAGAGCGTGTGTGTGTGTGTGTGTGTGTGTGTGTTTCACATTCAAAGCCAGTTCAAGGTGAGGTAGCAACCTTACCCTCTCTTACAACACTAAACTCCTGAAGTGGCTCTGCTTTACAGCCAACACTGAGGACTCCCGGGTTAGAGAAAAGGCAAGATTCAACAACTTCTGGTTTTAACACCCTGAGAAGCAGATAGAAACCCCTTTTTGGATGCACAGAAGTCTGGAAGAGAAACGAAACAGTATGGTATTCTGGAGGAATCAGCTAAGACCAGTGCAGAAAGTTCCTGTAGCCCCCACCATTCAGAACAGGGCCAGCCTGAAACACATGCACTTAACCACATTAAAGGGACCTCAGAGAAACTTCTTTCTGAACATCTCATGACCTATCTCCATCCCTTCAGCTAGCACTTCTGAAATAACTGATCCTCATACCTGGCCTAATCTCCTCACTTCCCAGCAGGGTTTCCAGTCCTGACTTGACCATCCCATGTTATTGGATAAGTTACAAGTTTTCCACAGAGGATCTTTGGATATTCTTATAGGCCAGGCAGAGCCCCAAGGTTCTGCTACCTTGTGCTGTCCAGGACAATAACAGGACTGAATAATGTGTAAGTTACTAGCTCTACGCTTTCTTCTTCGGCTTAATGCCCGTGAATACAAAGGCCTGGGATGGCTAAGGACCCAGACAAACCAAACAAATGAATCACCGCGACATCAAAAACTTTCAACTGTGTGCTCTCAGAAGGCCAGCTCACGCTGTGCGAACCAGGTTCAACAGCCGCTCACCCTCCGAGCCTCCATGCTCCTCATCTGGCTGCTTTCTAGCAGCTCCTGGAACATGTGATCTTCCACAGCCATTTTTTGCCTATAGGCTTCTGCATCTTCTCGAATCTCCTTCGCAACAGTATCTTGTCTTTCAGTAAGATTCTGTTGAACACAAAGGGACTTTGCTTTGTTCAGGCCCTAAAGACAACTGTAACTTTCTCACTGTCAAAGTACAAAGTAAACAGGGTGACTTCGCTGGCAGCTGCAGGGTCCCTGAAAAATGTCTCCATAAATGCACTGAGAGAGGCAAGTGTGCTCAGAATCAACTTGTGAATTCTAGAAGGTAACAGTGTGTGGCCTGCTGGGGAACGCGTCCCAAGAGGACGGGATCCATTCCCACCCCATCCACAGCTCTGCATCAGCCTTTGAAAAGCAGCAGCCTTGGTGGACCATCCAGGAGACCACGTGTAAGTTACAAGTCAAGGTCTGAGTGTGCAGACCTGAGCCGGTCTCATGCTCTCACTCTGGTTATCAGTGAAATTTCACACAACCAGAAAGTGAACTCCAAGTTGGGTTTGAAAGTGCCTTGCTGAGTGCTGAAGGCACACCCAATAGCTTCCCTGACCATCCCAGGAAAGACCAAAAGCTTTTGGTTCATACAGTGTATCACTGCTCAGCTATGGAAAGGGATAAAGTACCAAATCATGCTACAGCATAGCTGAACATTGAAAACATTATGCTAAGTGAGAGAAGCCAACAGCCAAAGACATTGTATACACGGTGCATTTATATGAAATATCCAGGATAGGCAAATCCATAGAGATGGAAACTAGATCAGTAGTTGCCAGGGGTGGGAAAATAGGAAGTGGCACTAAAAATATGGTGGCTAGGGCATGGGGAAAGCAAACAGCCTTCATCCTGATCTATGTTAAAAAGGCAGAGCACACATGGGCCCAGAGGTTAAGAACACTGACTGCTCTTTCAGAGGTCCTGAGTTCAATTCCCAGCAACCACATGGTGGCTCATAATCACCTATAATGAGATCTGGTGCCCTTTTCTGGTGTGCAGGCACACAACTGTATACATAATAAATAAATCTTTAAAAAGAACAAAAAAGGCAGAGCACAAATTGTATGTGCCGACTGTCTCACTGGCCATGGCTAATGATGTCAGCAGTTATTCTTACCGTATTGGGGTGAAACCCAGGGCCTGTGTGTTCTACCAAGTATTCTACCACTAAACATGGCCCCAGGGGTGACTTCTTTTAGATTTATTTTAAACTGTGCGTGCGTGCATGTGTGTGTGTGTGAAGTACAGGTGTCCTAGAATTGGAGTTAGCGGTATTTGCGAGCTACCTGACATCTGCTGTGGGTCCGGAAGCTACTACACTCTGGTCCTCTGCAGAGTAATGTGTGTTCTTAACCACTGAACTCGCTCTGTGAAAACTATAAGATGAAATTCCAGTCCCCAGGAATTCTTTCTTAAAAAAATTACTTTATGTGTATAAGTGTTCTGCTTGCACGGATGTACGTGTGCCATGTGTGTGCAATGTACATGGAGACCACAAAAGGAAGCTGGAGACCCTGGAGCTGGAGTTACAGATGGTTGTAAGCAGCCACAAGGGCGCTCCTAACCACTGTGCCATTGCTCAAGCCCCAGGGGTTATTTCTTGATTCAGAGATTTTTTTTTTCTAGTGCCCTATAAGCAGCTTAATTACTTTTACAATTAGCTAAAAGTGAAAATATGCAGAGAAGGTGCATGTACAAAGATGTTTATTGTTAAAAGTTGTAAATCTCTTAAACATTTAAGTTTAAGACTTACTGTTTTTACTTTATGTGTTTGGGTGTTTAAGTGTACCACATGCATATACACAGTGACCGCAGGGGCCAGAATAGGGCACTGGATTACTCACCCCTCCACCCCAGAACTGGAGGGATGGAGGGTTTTTAGCTGTATGTATATGTACTGGGAACTGAACCTGGTTCCTCTGGAAAAACAGCCAGGGCTCTTAACCACTGAGCTGTCTCTCCAGCCCAAACATTAAGCTGAGTTGCTGGCTCAACAACAGCTACTACAGATGATGACTATGAATATCCCCAGACACTCAGAAAGAGAATTGCATCTTACTGTTTAGTAACAAAATGTTTTTCTCAAACAAAATCTTGCATCAACAGCTCTTTTCAATGATAAAAACTGAAATATGTACCCTAACTACAGGTTTGCTGATTTAACTCCAGACAATTCAGATTTAAAGTAGTTCCCATTCTTGGCTTTGTGTTCCCATAATCCCAAAGGGTCAGGGATGCTCCCATCTCCAGATGCTCAGCATGAAGCCTTCAGATTTGGGGGCTGGGGGTCCTGGACTCTTGGAGCACCTTGCAGGGTGGGAAAGTTGCTGATATGAGAGATTTTGGACTCAGGTCTCCAGATAGGTGGTTTTAGTCACTGCCACACAAACACAGGGGAGGTTGGCGAACAGGAAGAGAGAGATCCTGAGGCAAAACCTAGACAGATGTGCAATCACACTGCTAGAGAACCAGGAATCCAAGAGTTACATTCAATATGTAACATTCCAATTCACATTCACATTCCAATATTCGCTAATATTCAGTCCTGGGTGACAGGATATTGCTTGAAGGGTAAATAAAATGAACAAGAGAAAACCACAAATGAGTGCAGTCTACAGGGGCTGAAGGAGCGTGCTATCTGCCAGAGAGAGCTGCTTTCTACCTTCTCATAAAGCCGTTTTTGTGATTCAAGTTCCAGCTGTCTCATTTCCAGGTCGTTGGTTGTGGCCACAATTTCCTGATCTCTCATTTGGACCTATGGACAAAGCACAAACTGTCAAAACCCAAACACCTCACAGCACAATTTTTAATACATTTAGTAATCTGGTTACCTAGCATCCCATTAATTACACTACAGAAACAGCAACCAGGATTTGGGTTTAAAACAGAGTAACTGGCACCACGGTAGAACTCTAATGGAATCCAGGGCTTATCTGGGTTTCGTTTATGTTTTTAAAACAGCAAGCTCAACTGCCATATGCTGAAGGAGACAGACTGATGAGCAGGTGGCAGCTCTTCCCCGGCAACAGGAACCACCTCCCCGTTACGGAAAGCCAGGCAACCGACAGGTGGGGTGGAGAGAAAGTATGTTTAATCTTGTTAAATTAAGGCGTTTAATTAGAAAATTAAGCTTCTGAACTTCTGATCAGTTTGACTTGACAACTTTTAAGTCTAGGCTGAAGTTTCCCGTGACCTGTCTGACCGTTCTGTGCTCTGTGTGGACAGGGTTCATCTATAGGTCACGCTCTGCAGGTTTGATTACTCGGGGGCTCTCACTTCTGTAAGACAGGAGTTGGGTAAGGCACTCCCCACAGAATCTTCCTAATCCCGAATCCTCATCGTAAGGATTCGGTTGCCTACAGACCCAGTTATTTTTAGGGGTGAGAATAAAGTAAATGATGTGTATTTGGAAAACAAAACAACAAAACGATCCCCATTGATTCATTCACCAAACATTTAAGGACTACATCACCATCTTAGTCACGGCCAAATATTTATAGTGTTGACTAGACCACACACTATTAAGTACTTGTAAGGGAAGAAGCAGTAAAAAGGCCGGGCCCAGTGGCACACGCCTGTAATCCCAGCACTTGGGTAGGCAGAGGCAGGTGAATCTCTGTGAGTTCAAGGCCAGCCTGGTCTACACAGTGAGTCCAGGACAGCCAAGGCTACACAGAGAAACCCTTTCTTGAAAAACAAAACAAAACAAATAAACAAACAAAAAAAATGAGGACACCAACACTGTGCAACTGACCTTAAGGAAGTTAGGGGACAAGTATTAGCTTAAGGTGGGGCCTGAGCATGAAGCCAGGGTCCTGGCAGCACAGAGGCAGGAAAGCAAGGCTGGGCACACAGCACCACACTTTGTACAGGGTCCAGGTACAGAGCGAATTTGATTATGACTTTTCGGAGGTAACAACAGCTATGCAAAAAGATCACATGTGTTTGTGAGCAGATGTCCACAGTCACATACACATGGTCCTGCTGAGGCTAGGGCAGTTAGAGCACAGTGCTGGGGTAGTAAGGGCCTCTCTGCTGCTGAGAAGAATCAAGATGCCTTACTGCATGTCAAGAGGATTTGGGATAAAAGAGCAGAGTTCTGAGCATGGATCACTTTTGAGAAATAACATACACTTTTTATTAAGAATACAAGGCTAATTGATTTGATTCACTTGATAAGTAATTTAAAAGAATTGCAGATTATAGAAGCCAATTAAAATTAATTAGCCTTAAACAAAACAAGAAGTGTTAAATGCTTTACAAGAATTAAAAATTCAGTATTTTATGAAAGCTGGGTTTTAAGCTTCCAAAATTAATGTACAAATTTAATATAATACTAATGAGATTGCAATGAGATGGGAGGGATTCAGAAAGACCAAATTCTCTGTTGGGAATGTGAACATTTGAGAATACTGAGTCAAATAAAGAGGAAGAACAGTGAGTGGCAATCAAGACCAGGCAAAAAACCCACAGCTGCTGTCACTCAGTGTGGCACTGGACAGGAACAAAACAGGGGAGAAGAGGGAGTTTATAAGGAACAGTAGCAGCCTTCACTCAGCAAGTGAGTCCACCAATACTCAGTGAATGGTGTTAGGATGACGGCATACCTTCTAGGTAGGGGTAAGCGTGGTCCCTAACTCACCCCTTACAGTCCATTTTCAGAGACCTGGAGTTGGTAAACCTTTTCTACAAAGTACCAGAGAGCAAACACTTTAGGCTTTGGGGGTCACAAGGTTTTTGACACAACCACCTGCCTTGTCAAAATTTTAAAATTAAGATACTATCAAAACCAAACAACACTATGAACATTTTTAAGAGGCAAGAGATGAAGACTAGCTGAAAAGATCTACAACGGACAAGGGTTAATACCCCAACCACATACTGCATAGCAGCCAGCAGTGTGACTGCTGGACAAAAGGCAAACTACAGAGACAAAGGAAAGCAGCCTGCCACCTATCCGGTTAACTGCCGAGGTTAATCTGGAGACATTTCATCTTCAGAGACTAACTTGAATTTTGTTTTTAGAAAAAGGTTAATCACAATCTTTTCAAGCATTTTTATAGGTGGAGGAATGTTGATATTTTTCCTACATTAATGTAAATTTTCATTTGCCTTCCATTTTTGTGCCATGTTTTCAAAACTGTTTAATGTCTTTCCATATTGCTGTTATATGTTTCTCTTTACTGTAGCTGTGTGGTATTTCACGGGTGAATATGCAATGGTTAATTTAATCCTTTGCTCTGAGTGTTTAGGTTACTTTTAGTGTTTTGTTTTACAAATGGTACTATGCTATACAACAGGATAAAATCCCAGACATCTCAGCTTTAGAAATGAGCAAGCACAGAGAGGACAGGTCTCCAACTCTAGATGTTCTGTACTGGAAATTCTTTTCGTATTGTCCATGTGTGAATTTTTATAAGAGAATATTTCCCCTAGCTCACAACCAAGACCTGACATACTTTTATTTTTAGAGAAAGTAATTAAATTGACTAATTTTCTTGGCATAAAATAGGTGAATGTTAAAGTAAATAAAGCAGAACAAGCTGTGGACACTAGCATCATTACTTAATTTGAAGGTATCCATTACATGAGAATAAAGATCTTGGTTAAGATTAAAGATGATAAACCTTTCTCTTAATTTCATCCTCCAGCCTGCGTAGCTCCATTTCACATTGATCTTGTTGAACCTTCAGTAAACGTCTCCTAGCAGCATCCTGTAAGCATATTTCCTTTATCTTGAGCTCTCTTTTCACAGCAGCTAGCCTGAAAAACAAATTTTATCAAAGCACTTTCCAACAGAGCTTTGATTTTTTTTTTTTTTTCCTCATGGAGTTGCCTGGGCTTTTTGGATACATTTGTATCCACTGCAACACAACTGTGTTTACAATTCATAAACAAAGTCAGGACTCAGGGTCAGTCCCTTTGGCCATCCTTTAGACTTGACCTAGTAACTGTCTATCAGCTACTTTCCCGGGGCTGGGGTGGAATCCAGGAGCCTCTTGCATGCAAGGCAAGTGCTCTAACACCAAGCTGCAGCCCAGCGCTGCCAGATCACTTCAATACAAGTGATACTCTTTAACTGGAGGACAGTGACCATAAAACCATACAATGGCATCACACATGGTACCCAGTTTTAGTGGAGACCATCAGTTCTGTAATGGCTTTTAACTGTGCATGGAAACAAGAATCACTAAACATGGAATACGACAGTGCATGTGCATGCCTGGTGCCTGTAGAAGTCGTGAGCAGCCTTGGACCCCAGGAACTGAAGTTACAGTTTTATGAGCTCTGCTTAGATCCTGCGTAACTCAAACACCAGGTCAATGACGATGACAAACATTTACTATAGTGAAGCTGCTACCGATTGATCAGGGCCTCTGAACAGACTCTAAACTGCAATCTCAAACAAGAATATCACAGAATGTTTAAACTTGCAAAGCACAAACATCTGTGCCAAGTTATTGTTACATTTTTCGACAAATCAGGACAGGAGTTGGTTCCCGGGCCTGGGAGCATGAACTTAGTTTGACCCTGCCAGCAGGATGGAGAAATTGTCCTTGAGATGGCTGGGTTCAGACAACTGTCGCCTCACAACTTAGCTGTTGGTAAGTCCCCAACTCCTCTAGGGCCTGGGACCTGGAACTTACTTTCCCCCATAGAGTCGGCAAACAAAATGGCAATACTTTGAACATGTTTCTTTTGTTTGTTCTCAATACAGATGTTTGTGAACCACCTTGTGGATGCTGAAAACCAAGCCCAAGTCCTCTACAAGAGAAGCACCGAGTCATTGCTCCAGACTCTCTTGTCAAAGATCTTGTTTGTTTGCTGTGAGACAGGGTCTCACTGTGTAGCTCTGGCTGTTCTGGCTCTCCCTGATAAGAGGTCCACATGACTGCCTCTTAAGAGCTGGGATTAAAAAGAACGCATTAACACACCTGGCATTGACAAGGTTCTAAATGCATAAGGAGAGAAATGATTTGTGTTTCAATTTGTTGGATCAGATAGTTATGGTTAAAACATAATTTTAGTACCAAGAGTGATTTTCCAATACTCTATTATAAAGCATTTGTGCCTTTCTATTTTTTTTTTTTTTTTTTTTTTTTTTTTTTTAATAAAGACAAAGTCTTAGTCTGTAGCCCAGACTGGTCTAGAAGCCCATGATGAAGCCCAGGTTGGCCTTAAACTGGCAATCCTTCTGCCTCAGCCTCCCAGAATGTTAGGATTACAGGCATGAATCATGCCTGGCTTAGAATGAGTATTTCTAAATAATGTTTTTCAAAATATTTTAGAGCTTATCTTATGAAAATTCATGCCAAGGGACCTTATTCAACATTGCTTTGGAATTAATTTTACTACATGTAAGTTTTTTTCCCCCAGTGGCATATATGCTTTTTATTAACTTACATATTTACTTAATGGAAATTACACTCGGTAGTTTTTACATACAGCAAGAGGAGGAGAGGAAACAGACTTATCTGGCTCCCATTCTAGGATTTCCATAGTAGCAGACTGCACGGAGTCCCATCCTAGGTTTTCCAAGGCAGTGAACTGCACCTGTGTCTCTGCTGGGTCATAGGGAATGCACCTGTGTCCCTGCTGGGCCATGTGAACTGCACCTGTGTCTCTGCTGGGCCATGTGGACTGCACCTGTGTCCCTGCTGGGCCACATTGGAATGCACCTGTGTCTCTGCTGGGCCATGTGGAATGCACCTGTGTCTCTG